CACCCCTGCTAACTTTTGAACGAATTGAGCTAGGGTAATGAAACTTTGGGAATGTTCCTATCTTAAAGGGGACCATCTTTTTGGGGGGGGGGGGGTCAAAATTTTGGTCCCCCCTCGGGGGGTTCTGACAAAAAATATGGCGTTCGTCAAATCACCTTAAAAATTCATCATCCCTAATCTTACTGAAACTTCCTCAAAAGTGTCCTGAAATATTATACTTCTTGTTAAGTAGTAATACTGAAAGTTCTAAGCATCTATCTAGAAGGAAATTTTTTTTTGACCGTTATTCAATTCTCAGATTTGAGGGTTTTTTGCCGCCACCTGTTACAACATGATGTACAACACAACTTAAACATTTTTATATAAACTTAAATGACATTTTCTTCAACCTCCATGAGAAGGAGACCTTCTGACCTTTGAGAACTATAAATAATTCCCCCCTCAAAAATTAAGGGAGGAGGGGGTAGTCCAGTTACCTCCCCCACGACGTTGGGTAACTGAGTCAAAAAACAGGAAATTTTTTTAAAATTTGTGGAAAAAATTGAGAGATGAAATTCGACTTTTGACTCATCCTCATCCTAAATTTACATTATGTGTTATACTAACAGAAAAAATTAAAAAAGTAGCCTTTACTGTCAATATAATGATGGAAAAAAATCATGAAGTTGAAATTTTGACATTTTTCTCCGAACTCTTGTCCAGTTACCCGACCTCACCTTACCTATTGAAAAGTATGTTTGTGCTTTGTATGGTCTGTCTAAATGCGAAACCGTGAACGACAACGCGTGCTACCAACATTTTAAAACATCGCATACAAGCGGAAAAAATTGAACTATAGCTCCTTATTAGGACTTTTGAAGCGTTTGAGAAACTCCTTTGTCATTGAACTCTACTTCAACATCTTCGAAGATGCGTCTTCCAGGCAAATATATACAGGGTGATCCAAAAGTTCCTTCCACCCCCTCTAACTTTTTACCTAATTCAGATAAAAATTTGAAACTTGGGGGATATTCCTAGGTCAAAGGGAGCTACTTTTTGGCCCCCCTTGCAACTTTGCAATTTTCAAATAGGAAGACCCCCTTTGTGATAGCTCGTTCGAAAGAGCATAAAAAAAGAAAACTTTTCGCGCAAATCCGAAGTCAATATCTCAAACCGTTTCAAAATGGCGGCCGGTTAAAGTTCAAAATGGCCGAAATTTCACACCGGTTATTTGTCGATGGATTTGCGCGAAAATCGGTATGTAGGGGTATTTTGACACGAGAAAAACGAATTTGACGTTAGATTTTCAAAAAACCGAAATTTCCAAAATGGCCGCCGGTTAAAGTTCAAAATGACCAAAAATTTATTTTTTTATAAATCTAAGTTCAAATTTGTTTATCTTATGCCAAAATACTCTCAAATTCCAAGTTTTAGGCAAATCCATCAGGAAAAAACCAAGGTGAAAAATTTCGGCCATTTTAAACTTTAACCGGCGGCCATTTTGGAAATTTTGGTTTTTTTGAAAATCTAACGTCAAATTCGTTTTTCTCGTGTCAAAATACCCTTACATACCGATTTTCGCGCAAATCCATCGACAAATAACTGGTGTGAAATTTCGGCCATTTTGAACTTTAACCGGCCGCCATTTTGAAACGGTTTGAGATATTGACTTCGGATTTGCGCGAAAAGTTTTCTTTTTTTATGTTCTTTCGAACGAGTTATCACAAAGGGGGTCTTCCTATTTGAAAATTGCAAGTTGGGGGCCGTTGCCCCCCAAGGGGGGCCCCCTGAAAATTTTAGGGGGGCCAAAAAGTAGCTGCCTTTGACCTAGGAATATCCCCCAAGTTTCAAATTTTTATCTCAATTAGGTAAAAAGTTAGAGGGGGTGGAAGGAACTTTTGGATCACCCTGTATGTACTAAGTACTTAAGTCCACAGTCAAAATTGATAATTGAAGCATAAATGATATCTTGGAACCGGAAAGTTACGAATGGAAGATACATGATGCCGGCAGTTGTCAGCAGCCTCTCGGTGCTTTGTATTGTCTTGTTTCATCGTATCGACACACATGTAATTATCGCACGAGCCGCTGCTGCCTCGATATTTGGCTTCGATTTAGACTTCAGCTTACTTGCACAACCTCTTGAATCTAACTCTTTGACAAAACGGAACTCTTAATACGATTCTGGGGGCGGGAAAGGAAGGGGTTCAGGCTAACATAGGCGTCGTAAGTATAAACAAGGAAGTACCAAAACGTTGCGTTGTAAGCCATCTGATCAAAAACGTATTTTTGGGATGAAGGCAAGGACATTCTTGCACCTACTAATGTATTCACACGAACAGGTTAAAATAAATCGGATACTTTTCACTCTGAGACTCCGACACAAGGTAAATGTCCAGAACAGCGTGGGTTGGTTTCCGTTTCACTTCCTATATTGACCAGAAGTGACACAAGAGCACAAATATTTTTATCAGTTTAATAATTCCCTGCTCATTTCTCATCACGGATGCCTCACTCCAGCAGCCGTTTCAATTCTCACGAAAATATTTGAACTGAAACTGTCCACGACCGAGTAGTGGTTAATTAATTAATATTCATGAAAAGAAGCCTTTTTTCAGAGAACTATTGACAAAGAAAAAGTGCACCACACCGGTGACGATCCAAGAATCCAATTTCTCCTCGGAGCTTTTCCAGAAATACCTAGTCCTCGCATTGCTTCGTTTGATAGAGCAAAAACTGCGCGCGAGAAAAGGTGGAGAGGCGTGAGAGGGGATTGATGCTAAAAAGACTGGAGAGGAAGTGTGGGCTGTGGCACATTCAGCTAGAATAATTATCATTGGAAGACACGATGGTATTAATTGCTCGAGTGAATTTATTTTAACGGAGGGACCTCATCGTTAAGTGAGGCTCAAGAATATTTTTTGAAGCCGTGAAAAAATAGCGAATAATTAATTACTGTCGTCGAGATCCATCAAATACGTAGATCTCTGAGCAAATTGAACGTAATGCAACATTTTATAATGTCAATTTATTTACGAACCATTATGAATGTTTTTGAGGATTTACTCTCCCTCTTGCCGAGTGATTCTCTGCTATTATTTCTACTATTTCCGTCACACGGGCTTTTGTGGAACACGTATATAAGTTTCAATTGTGCAACTTTTTTCTTTATATGAGACCCCCACTTGAGCCTAGAATCCAGGTGAAGGCCAAGATAGCGAGCGACAGTATCGCGAGGAATTTAATTTTCTCCTAGGAGAAGAGGGATATGCGTAAAGGGTCTGTTGGTAAAGACCACCTCAACCGATTTAGATGCATTTAATTTAGTCTTATCTTTGTTTGTCCAGCGATGAATTTTATTTAGGTGGCATTGTGCATTATGCCGTGCCTCCCTGTAACTCTTTGACGCTGCTAACACGAGCGTGTCATCGGCGTATACTCCCAGTTTCCCCCCTCTCCAAGACTGTGGGATGTCTGTGGTGAAAAGGGAATAGAGAAGGGGGAGGGAAAGGCAGGAACCCTGCGGAACTCCCGCCCTTATAGGTCTGAAACCCGAGGTAGTATTTTTATACCTAACCCGAAATTGTCTACCATTGAGAAAGGATGACAAGAGTTCCACATGGTTACATGGGAGCATTTTATAAAGCTTTTCGATGAGACGCTCGTGCCAGACGCGATCAAACGTCCAGAAAAACTGCCACACAGTATTCTCCCCTCTCAATAGAATCCTCTATAAATTTAGTAATACGGTGTAATTGGTCCACCGTAGAATGTTTTGCACGGAATCCAAATTGTGCATCTATAATCAAATTTTGTTTGGAAACAATTTCGTTCAGTCTTTTAAAATAGAGCTTCTCAAATAATTCGCCTATAACTGGCAGCAAAGAGATATGTCTAATTATTGTCTATATGATGAGGCTTCAGTGGTGAGAAGGGGGTGGCAAAATACAGGCGGCCCATCTGCGGCAAGTAAGTAAATCCGGCCCTGCTTGAAATACATACAAAATATTCTACTAACAGAGAAGGAAAGTGTTCAAGAAATAGAGAATTTGCAGGTGTCTGAAATTTGATGAATTTCGTGTTTAAGTAGAAACTACTGAGTGAGCTGAACACGAGGCTAGGCGGTGCATTTTCTCACTTTTAAGTCTATTTTTATACTATTTCCCATAACTGAAAAAAATTATAAAAAATACCGTGAAATCAGCTCTTTAAGCTCTTTCAGATGAGGCAATAAAAAATTTGATGCAAATTCACCATCACGTAAATTAGTTTTCCGAGGAAAAAATAAAGTATGGGTGGAATCTATAGTATAAACAGGGTGATCCAAGGTTAAACGGCCAGACTGCAGGAGCCGAATCGGCCCCAAAACCCCTCTTTAAATTTAAATTTCGATTATTTTTAGATCAGTTATGAATTCAGGGCATGAAAGTGGAGGGGAGTAAAACTTTTCGTGGGATTTGGTCCTCGAACGTTGCCAAAATTCAGGATAAATAATGATCTACACTCTGATATTTGTTTGGGGGCCGTGGCTCCAACTGGGGGCACTTTTGGAAAAAAACTTTTTTACAACAAAAAAGTCTTATTTTGACCCAAAGGACACGCCTCTGGAGTCTGATCGTTTATCCCTGGATCACCCTGTATACTCGCACAATATGTTTTTCATTATTTTCTTTTATTTTATCCTCGAACTTTCAAAAGCAATCTTATGCCAAAATGAACGAATCAAATAAGAATGGTTGGTTGGTAGATACGTTTATTTGGTGCTTTTAACAATTGAGCCATTAAAACCTTAGAGGAGAGATCAAAATAATTTTAAAATTTAAAAAGTAGGGGTCACAAATAGTACAAAGTTAAAAGTTAGGAAAAGGAAAGAATACATTAAATTTAGAGATTAATTCGTTTGAAAAAGAGAGGGATTTCACGATAATACTTTGAAAGGATGGTATGGAGATCAGAAAAAGGGAGGGAAACTTTGATTTTCAGTGAAGAGTACGTATGTACCAAACACATACTTCCAAGGAAGTAACAGAATTTCCATTATCTTTTCCAGAAGCGCGTTTTCATCACAACGGAGCATCATGGGGTCCGATTCATGGTTCCCGAAACTGAACAGTTGCTGTGGTTTTCCTTTGAGGACGGGCACACTCATCATAGGTTGGACTTTTGCGGTATCCTTGTAGCAAAAGGTTCTTTTTTTCATACTATTTAGAACCGAAATAGCTTCTGCATATAGCGTGTTTTACCTTCTTTTTGAGCATCTACACGCCGTGGAATAGAATGCTTTTTGAAGCATCCATGCTCACCGTCTCGGTGCGGTGGCGTTTGCGGACGTGGCGTTTGCGGATTCTAAGAATCGGGTGGCGTTTGCGGATTCTCATATTTTGACGGTGGCGATTGCGGACAGGCGGAACAGGGCCGGTGGCCTTTGCGGACCAGAGAATTTCGGCGGTGGCGATTGCGGACGGAGGGGTAGGCACCTACATATGCTGCCCCCCACCCCTGCGCTGTATATTAAAGAGAAAAATTACCGGAGAGGCTCTGGATTCCTTTTCGTGGATGTAGAAAACATTAGTATTATATTAGTATAAAAACATATGAGAATTGATCGTACAGTAAATTTTTAAAAAAAGGCATATCAGAAATCGCAAGAAACTGAAAAATCGTCAGTTTCAGTCCATTTTTAGGATGAAAAACATGTTGTAAATTCTAGTCCAAAATTACTGAAAGCTAAAAAATTACATACGAAAAATGGAAACACATTTTAATTTTTTGACTTTCAGTAATTTTGGACTAGAATTTACAACATGTTTTTCATCCTAAAAATGGACTGAAACTGACGATTTTTCAGTTTCTTGCGATTTCTGATATGCCTTTTTTTTAAAAATTTACTGTATGTTCACTGCTCATATGTTTTTATACTAATATAATACTAATGTTTAATACTAATATTTTTTTCATTCTACATCCACGAAAAGGAATCCAGAGCCTCTCCAGTAATTTTTCTCTTTAATATACAGCGCAGGGGTGGGGGGCAGCATATGTAGGTGCCTACCCCTCCGTCCGCAATCGCCACCGCCGAAATTCTCTGGTCCGCAAAGGCCACCGGCCCTGTTCCGCCTGTCCGCAATCGCCACCGTCAAAATATGAGAATCCGCAAACGCCACCCGATTCTTAGAATCCGCAAACGCCACGTCCGCAAACGCCACCGCACCCACCGTCTCGGGGATGGGGGCTGATTCCGGGAAGGACTGACCCGCGCTCACCCTCGTCATCCACGCTTCACTCCTCGCCACTCCTCGCTAATTGCAGCATGCGAGAATGAGTGGATGCGCGTGCTACCGATAGAGGGTAGCTGTTTCATGACCCCTGTTGAAATGTTGGCCTAACTGGCCGGCATTTTTTCGGAATCAGAGGCATTCCCTACCCGAAAGGTTCTTCCTTTAATCCAAGAGAGCGCGCCTCTGGAGCATCTCCCGAAAAATGACATTTTTTCCCCGTAACCATTGAATTTTAAGATTAGGAACCGATTTTTATGAATTCGCTCATCGTTACCATGTAGAAGGTATAGTCCCGAAAATTTTAACGTATAATTCCATAGTTTAGATAAAAAAACGAAGGGAATACCATTAAAAGCGCAAAGAGCGTTTAGAATTTCCAACTCATCCCAACCGGCCTCGTAGTACACTGCAATGTGTAACTCGACTAGGTCCAAACAAGAAAAGCATCACACGTTTTCTCGTCAAAATTTGACGTAGAGAACATTCACATTACGGGAAGTTCGGAGGTCAGCTCGTAAAAGATACGGTAAGAGATTTTTTCCAAAAAGATCCAATGGAGACTATATTCTACAAATGACGTATTTGTAAGTGATTTTTTTTTTTTGGACTGATGTTCATTGAAAACTTTTACATATTTTTTTAGGATTTAATTTTTAGACCACCCGTTGAGTAATTTGTTCCTGCGGTAAAATTTCGAGGATGAAACATGTTGCATACTGCTTCAATCCTTAACTTGCATGCCCAGTGGCTCATTGCTGTCCTACAATATCAAGGCTTCCTTAACAAATGCAATTCTTATGGCTTAAGGAGACCTTAATGTTTAAAGTGCGACCATGAATACGACAGTAAGCCTTGAAGTTAAATGGATAGACGGGTTTACCGATGCAGTTTAACCTGTTAAAGCGAGGACAACCTTTTTTTTTATTTTCAACAGTGTTCAACAGCGCTCTCCTAATCGAAACAAAAACTTAGATTTCACCCTTCATGGAAATTCTTAAAATCGGCCGATTTGATCAGGGCATGCGTGGTAATAACTAATCAATCAATTTAATTTAACTAACACAGACTGTTAAGTCAAATGTATTTTATCTGAAGCAATACATCGATCAAGATTTTTACCATTCGATTATCATCACGTAAAGTGTTTTTACTCATGTTTCAAGTAAAAAATGTAACCAATTTCAAGTAAATAAATGTGTGACATGCAGAACGGAGATATGTTGTTTTGGGATATGTTGGGTTATGGCGCGAACTACTATTACAAATTCTCAATTAATGAAAAATATTTTGCTGAGATACCACATCAGTCTATATTTCTTTGCTACAATCGTTATTTTCAGAGAAAGTACTCGAGCGGTGAAGTATATATATAAAGTCGCTTTACAACGCACTTTGGCGTTCTACGACACCCAAACGCCACATATGCCTGTCTTCCCAGAGGTTATCGGGCAACTGACACCGCAACATCTCTTCGTCAACGCCCTGCCGCCAACCCTTTACGGGACGTCCCCGTCGCCTCTTCCCAGGTGGTACCCAATCCAAAACTTGTTTGGGGAACCTCTCCTCCGACATTCTTTGCACATGAAGTAATCACATTCTTTGCATATCGAGCGGTGAAGTAATTTTTTTATTTGTAGGCAGCCACCATTACTATAAGCTCTCTTACCTCCTCTTCCATTTTTTTTTTCACAATAGTTCTACCGTCCTAGTGGGTCAATTTTCATCATTTTTACGACAATGGACCACTAGACAAGGTAATGAATTTCAGCATTCTGATACATGATTCTTAATCAAAATTTCACGTAAAATACGGTGCGCACAGCGAACATTATCGAAATTATCTCCTTACGAAGATATTTAATGATTCTTGATGCGTGAATTCAAGCCATCCGTTCATGAAAACTCAGTGCTCTACGTGATTCATATCGCGCGCTAAACGTTATCATGACAGTCTCTGCGATATAAAAATCTGGCAACCCCGATCTTGACGCTTTGGCTCAGCTATAGCAAATTGCTCATAGTTTTAACAACACATGGTGGGAAATGAATATTGCTCGATTGAGAAGCTTGCTGAAACCGTTTACGCAATTTGACTCACGTAGAGCTTTGAGTTTCTTGTGAGCGGGCAGCTCAAATTCACCGTAATCAATGTGAAATAAAAACGTTAATATCTTCGTTAGGAGTTGATTTCGGTAATTTTCGTTGCGCGATTCGTGTTCTACGTGAAATTCTAGTTAAGAAACATCTATCAGAATGCTTAAATTCGTACCTTGTCTAGTGGTCCATTGATAGCATACAGTCCCCGGATAAGCCCCATTTATCTACATTTTGAAAATATGACCTCCTAAAGATCTACAGGGCTGATTTTCGTGAGTTTTGCAGTGATTGATACAATTAGTGTCCCTAGATGAGTCCGTTCTCTTTAGATTAACTCTCAGGAACCTGCAATCCAGGCCACAAGGAGCGCGAAGCGCGATCTCCGAGGGTTGGGCTGGTAGCGGCCAGGGGGCACAGGCACACCCACTTGTTTAAACAGCCTTCTGTAATCAGACCAGTAAGCAAAGGGAATGAGAAGTTAAAATAATCATACGTGGCAATCTTCTTCATCCCTTTGTTTTTCTCACTAAGCCTGTTCTGGTCCGGGATGCATATCCCCAAACCCCGCGTGGATTGTGAAAAATCTAGCCTGCTGTCCTCAAAATCGTTAGCCGCTGCCTTCTGAGCCCTGCCCCGGTCGGCATGGGCCTCTTCAGCAAGTGGCCTTGGGCACTGCGGCCATCCTCTCTCCTTTCTCCTTTCTCCTTTCTCCCGTCTCGCGTCTCGCCGCGCCGTCCGATTGTCTCTTCAACCCTTCGGAATGAATGGGGGTGACCTCGCGGTCCACTCTTTTTGTTTTCCGGAAAATATCTTCTTCCTCCTCAAAACAAGCCCTTCGCAGAGTTGTCACATGTTGAGTGCATTTTGAAATGCACCATTGACTTGTTCATGAAAAACCGTGATTATTCGATCCACTTGGGACGATTTTTTCAGGTCAGAGTCAAGTCATACCCTGTCTCTTCCGAGATGGATTTCAAATACCAAACATCGATGATACTGATGCAGGCGGCATGTTGCCTCCTAATTTTTCAGTGTCCAAGGGATGTTCGTGCCGAACAGCACGTGTTGTTACTCGGGATATTTGTCCAACCGATACGGACAACGGAAACGGGGAAAATTAGCTAGGGGGTTTTAATAGCTCTCCTATTGATTCGGGTGAGACACCAAGTGCATATTCATCCTCGCAAATGCAGAGACTTTTTTTTATAACTTTTCTTCACCACCAGGTTTACTGTTTATCCTTTCAAGCAAGGTGATAGGTTCTGCGCAGAACTATATAAGTAAAAGAAAGGAAATAATTGAAAAAAGAAAAAAAAATTACTTGAATTTTTTGTCAAGAATACTGCTCTTGAATCAAGAATAAGGTCACTGGAATAAGGCCGAATCCTGCTTGATATGAGCGGCAGCGGCTTTTTTCTCAAAGTAGGTACGCATTTTGCAGCTTAAGCCAAGAGAAATCTCCTCCTAGCGGCAAATTCAAGAATATTAATTCTTACGTAATCATTTTTTTCCAGTACAAAAGCTCCGCAAATTCCACTAATCAAAGAGGCTTGTGAGATCCATATGCATTGCGCTGCTCTAAAAATGTTCCGAGAGTTTTCCATCAAAAATGTTTTTTACAAAGAACAAAACGGTAGGCATAGCCAATAGACAAGTTTATTGATCATGCGATCAACGAAGGTGACGTCATGACTCTGCATTGCGAAATTTTCGGCATTAAAAAATATTTCCACTGCACGTAATTTAGGCATTTTTCGGTGAAAGGGCGTATGAGACGTCCATTTCTGCTAAGA